TTAACTTTAAACAAAGATTTGAAAATTGTTTAATTTCTTTGCTAAAAATTTGAATATATATTACTACTTAAAATTAAATATGTCATGATTAACTTTAAATACGTGATGATCTTAAAAATTGATCATGTTTTAATAGATCTATAGATGTATAGGAGAAAGACAAACACTTATGGATTCTTGAACGTTATTGTCTGCACGAAACCGAAGAAAAACAGTTAAATCTGACAGGAAGCGAAGAGTTAGCGCTCGTTAACCCGCCAATTAGAAGGTTTAGTTGAAGGCAGGGTTAAGTTTAGCAAGAGCAATACGTACGGGTCATAAGACAAGAGGTGTCATCCTGCCCCCGACATTAAGGAGGGAGGTACTTGTTATTTCCCTGTTTGCGGTTATTTATTTCTTCCGCAAGAAAGTTCCGTGCCAAGCACAATTCCTAGCAACAATCTACATTCAAATGAATAAATATAATGTAAATAATGTTTCCAGTACATCCAAATATATACGTCTGCATCTTATATTTTCTGTTATAAATGCCTTCAGTAATATATCATGAAAATTTTCACAAATTTAGACAAATCATTTCTGAAGTGGAAGTATCAAACTCATCGTATCTATTTAAGAAAAAAAAATCATGGTTCAAGAAACCCTAATTTTCGGATTGAGCAGCACTTGTTTGTGAGAAAATTTTGTATCGAGAAAATAAAATTTTATTTGCTCCCATCTAATATTTCAGTTATAAAAAATAGCACTCTTTAAAGTTTATTATTTTCTTAGTGGTGTCTCTATTTTATAACGTATCTCTTCAAATTATACATGTTTTTTTTTTCTTTTTTTTTTTCTTTTTTTTCAGTCATGACGTATTCATCGTTTTATGTATTTATAATATACGGACGGTCCTGTAATTCGGAACGATGTTCAGACGATATCACAGACGATATCCGGAGATTTCCGGTATGATATTCATAGTCAATTTTTCTTTATTTTTACCGTGCTTACCTCAGTTTCACGTCTCACGGGAGAGGGGCGGGGCGGGTGAGTCATCGCGCGAGCAGTCGCCGGCGATTTATGAATGAAAATCCACGCACGTGTCGCGTGCACGTTGTGTCGTCTCGTAGTGACGCCCCGCTACAATTATTTGCGATGGCTCATAAACACGTCGATTGTGCTTTGCGCTCGCGCGAGATAAATCGATATCAGGAAAAAGGAGTGCACTCGCAGATTGTGCACTCGCAACGAAGCAGGTTCGCCTTCGCATTCCGGGAAGTCGGTCGCTTCGCCGTCAAGGAGGAAAACTTGTTCAAGGTTTAAGGTAGTTTCATTTTTTTTCTTCCTTTAGTTTTTTTTTTTTTTTTTTATAATCCTGAAAGTAATCTTGATTAAGTATAGCGAGCGTTATTAAGCGTTTTGAATTTTTTTCGAAACTAATTCCTTGATGATCCTCTTATGATATTAGAAATTGTTTTTAACGAAACTTCAAATTTTTTCCCCCTTTCTCTTTGAAGAAGAATTAAAATTAGAAATTTAAATTAGAATTAAAATTAGAAATTTTTAGATATGAAGAGCGTAAGATAGATCCACGATCATTTGTTTCTGAAAAAAAATTTGTATAACATTTGCTCTATTAAGATATCTTGTTGCGTTCCTCATTGCAACACACTTCGCGCGCTCGATTTGTTTTATGGCGCCGATTGCGAAAGAGGAAACAGCGTGTGTTGAGCGTCTCTTCTGAGGCAAAGTTATAAAAACTTTCCGCGGCGTGTAGCAAACTGGCGATCCGGTGTAGTCGACCTCGAAAGGAGGTTGATTCCGCGGAAAGATATCTTATATACCTATGACGTCAATTGACTTAACACTTTCCCCCCCGAGAGAATGCTTCTAGCTGGACCTCTTCGCATAATCTGGCGAACTTTCCTATATTCCCGAAGAAGCGCTTTAAA